GAACTGATTCTATTAAAACCCCCTTACTCCACAGGGGGCTTGACCTTTTTCTGAAATACCAAATGCGTCTGCTTTGGAAATCACAAACTTCTCCTCCTCTAAAGAGCTTGTAAATCTGGTTTCAATATTGGGTGATTACAGGCTGTGTAGAGAGCTTGAAAGTAAGCAGCCACTTCTGGTAGCGGAGTGCTGGAGCTGGGCTGCCTGAGCTGAGCTGCCACTCTCATTTTTCACCCCAGTGTGTGTTTAGCGTAAAGCCACCGACGCCAGCAGATTCACCCCGGATTAGTGGTGGGGTGACTGGCCAGGCTCTGGCCACAGGATGGCTTACCTTCTCTTATCAGGACCCCGGAATCCAGTTTTTGTTGTTGTACAGCCACTTGATCTGTTGTAAATCCAGCGATTTCATTGCAAGTGCATGCTACCCTGAAGGGCAAACACCCGGAAAAGCCTGGGGAAAAAGCAAGGCTTTTCCTTAGATGTAATGGGTGCATCTGCACCTTCCCTTGCTGCTGTTGTGATTGTTAAAACAAGGTATGAACAGGGAGAATGTATCGCCAGGCTGCCTGTGTGGGATGGGATGGGATGTGCCTGTTAGCTACCAGTCAGTGGGGTTCCACAGCAAATGAGTGAAAGCAAAATTTGGCCTTCTTATTGAAAAGCAAGGGGATAAGAAGATTATCTCCTAAGGAATAAAGATCTATGGTCAAAAAAAGACCTCCACAACAAGGCTCAAGTTGAGTGAATAAAAGAAGGTCTCTGAAGGAAGCAAAGTTGTCTGTCTTGTCTTTTTTTCAAATGCTTTCCCATGTGGAGATCAATGGAAGCCTGTTTGTTTTGTTCCAGTGGCTGGTCACTTTGCAGGAAAACTCTCTTGTTTTGATTCTGGGAGTTACTTGGGGAAATGGTATTTTAGATCTGTCACTGTACTTTATTTCTGGAAAAAAAAAAAAAGTTGTGGAGAGGTGCTGTAAAATTACGGTTATCTCTTGGGAGGGGCCCAGTGTCTCCAACATTATGAATTCTGGCTCCCTCTAAATAAACAACCAACCTCGTTTTCTTTGTTTCACCTCTAACCCTCGTCTGCAGCCTTTGACAGTCCCAGGGGGTGAATCCTGAAGTAAAACAAACTGCAAGGGAAGGAAGCCAGGAGGGAGCCACAGCGCCTGCAGATTAACAGGGCCTTCTGCTCTCCAGCCAACCTTGACAAAAGGATTCAATCCTGAACTGACCTTCAGGGGGAAAAGCAAAACAAAAACCACCTTGACTTGAACTTTCAAGGCCGTAGGAGTTTATTGCTCGGTTTGATGTCTCCTAAAGGGAGCAGGGAGTTAGAAATGCCAAACACCTGTCTTGCAAACCCAAATCCGAACAAGTTATCAGGAAATCTGAGCCCCAAATCAAATGGCTTTGAAATATTTAGGATTTACTCATTGCCATTTCCAAGTCATCTGTTGTTCCTAAAAGGACCTAAAAATGTGCTTTGTCTTCCCCAGTGACTCTCTAGGCAAATATATAACCTCCAGTTAAGCAAACAGGGAGCTCTGTTGAAACATCAATATGTAGGTGCAGCCTTTTACAGTATTTCCTCGTGGAAGCAGGTTCTGCCCCACAGCCTAGCCCTGCTCTCTTCCTTGTAGGCAGGAGGGAAGAGAACAAGTCAGCCCTGACTACGTAAAAAAAGACACTGGCATGAATTTAGGGTGAGACTTGCTTTTTTTAAGAAGCTTTTATTAAAACTGGAATGTTAACGTATTTTTCTATTATAATGTATCAATGGCCATGCAGTTGGGAAAAACTAGTGAAAAGTATTGTTTCCCTCCCCTTGGCTATTCGCTGCATTTAAAAAATACTGACTTGAGACAGCTTGTTAAGAACAGAGCCTCTTCTTTAACGGCTTTTTTACCTATTAAACTTTCAGGACACTGTCTGGAGCAGCAGGGGGATGAGTGCTTACCTTTCCTTTAATTACATTTCCTTTTTTAAAAGGAGGGCAGCCAAAAACAAGGTAAAAGTGGCATCAGGATGAACTTTTAGCGCCTGTCTGTGACAGTGGCTCGGGATGGCATGGGACCATCAGCCCAGTGGTGCTGGTGCTGGCA